TATATATATATATATCCAAAGTCCTGAAAAGCAATGGCTTTTGTTTAAAGACTAAGCTAAGATGTGCCTGATTCAAGCCATGATTTTCTTCTAATTGCCTGCTATGCATCTGAGAATAAGGATGGCAGAGACACATCAATGCCTTTGAGTTGTAGTGCTGGAGAAGAGCACTGAATATCCAATGGACCGTCAAAAGAATAAAGAGATGTCTAAGAGAAAACACAGTCGGAGTGCTCCTGGGACGCAAGGGTGGTGAAGCTTCCTCTTAAGTACTTTGAGCATGTTGCTAAGGAAGGCTATTCCCTGGAGAGGGACATCATACTTGAAAAGGTGGAGTGTCAGCAAAGCAGAAGACCCTCGATACGATATATTAACATGGTGACTACATTGGTGAGTTCAAGTGTGTCAGTGATGAAGATGGCACAGGACAGGACAGAGTTCAAATCTATTATTCATAGATTATTCACAGGGTTGTGATGAGTCACACTCAACTGGATGCCACGTAAGAGTAATAATCTTTTCTTCATTAAAAATGAAAGAATATCTGAAAGACTCCGTGTGCTAGATAATAGTGCTGGTAGGTGGGGACACCTGAAGAATAAAGGGGCACAATTTTATCACAGAACTTCATGGAAATACAAACAGAATCCTTAAACAAATCAAAGCAAAGGGCACACATTCTACAAAGGAGAAGAACCAAGGGCCAAGAACACACGGGAATCATGTCTGGTGTGCTCTGGAGCCGGACAAAAGCCCATTGTCTCCAAGTTGATTCTGACTCATTGTGACCTTCCTTTGTATTTCTGATACTATAAATCTGCTTCAGAGGGTCAAGGACTGTGCTCTGAAATATTGACTGAAGCTCAACATCAAGAACACAAAGATTCTCACTACTGGGCCAATTGGCAGCATGGTGATAGATAGAGAAGAGACTGAGATTTTTTCTCTTGGTCAGTTCCACGTCAACACTCTGAGCACCAGCAGTAAGAAAATCAAAAGACAAATTGTATTAGGGAAATCTAATGTCAGGGACCTCTCCAGAGTGCTGAAGAACAAGGATGTCAGTCTAGAGACTAAGATGCACCCAGTTTAGGCCATGGTCTTCACAACTACTTGCTATGCATCAGAGAACTGGGAAGTAACGAAGGATGACAGAAGACTCATCAATGCCTTTGAGTTGTGGTGCTCGAGATGAGTTTTGAACATACCTTGGACTGGCAAGAGAACAAACAGGTCTCCCCTGGAAAGGGTGAAACTAAGCTGCTCCTTGGAGGCAAGGATTTTTGAGACTCTGTCTCACATACTTTGGTCATGTAGCCAGGAGGGACCAGTCTTTGGAGAAGCATGTCATACTTGGAGACAGGCAAGGAAGACCCTGGATGAGATGGATTGATAGAGTAACTGGGGTAAGGAGGGTAGATGTGACAGAGACAGTGAGATTGATTCAGGACAGAGCAAGGTTCAGAGCTATTGTGTATAATAGGATCACTATGAGTGATTGTCAACTTGACGACATATAACAACAACCGACAAATATTTATGAGAGGAGACTGCCCATCTTTCTCCCACAGAGCAGCTGGTGGACTTGAAATACAGTTGGAACCAACCCCTAGCTGACCTTCCATCAGGTTTTCAGAGGCAGTTAATTGCATAGGAAGAAACTACCCATCCTTCTCCCATGGAGCAGCTGGTGGCCTCAAACCACCATACCTTTGGGATTGCACTGCAGCTTCTTGTCATAGGCCACCAGAGCCTCTGTGTGTGTGTGTGTGTGTGTGTGTGTGTGTGTGTGTGTGTACATATACACACACACCCCACTACTGAGCCAAAGGTGGGTGGTTTTAATCTGCGGCCCTCAGGCCTGATTCTAATTATTTTTGGTCAAACATTCTTCTAAGTGGTACAGCACTCGTCTGTCCATTTGCTGTACAGAGGTAACCCATGGTTGCTGTGATGCTAAACACTGTGACACTGATGTGTCAAATGTGATAATGGCTACCTATGGGGGACAGTGTTTGGTGGAGCTCCCTGGTTAAAACAGGCTTGGAAGCAGGAGTGGCATCCACTTTTGAAATAGTTTGCCTCCAGAAACTCTATGACCCTGGAGAAAGGATGAAAGTTATACCAGTGTTCAGGTCTTCCATTCATAGGGTTGCTATGAGTCGTCTATGACTTGACGGCATTTAACAACAACAATATATCAACTACATATATATATATATATATATATATATATATATATATATATATATATATATAGATATTAAATGAGTTTATAATTATTTGATTGGACATTAGTTAATTTCTCGGCTCACAGTGTTCTCCCCATAGAAGTAGATCTGTAAGATGAAGATAAACCTCTTGTATATTATTAATGGAGAGTAAGTACAATTCTAGATGAGTTGCTTAATGAAAGAAAAATCAATACGTGGAGCATTTCTGTGGTCAAATGCTTCTGGGTTGGGGAGGGCCCTACAAAGATCCTGGCTGTGGTGTGATTAGGAGAAGTAATGTTGACTTGAAGAGACTGTCATAGTGCTCGTGCCTTTGGCCACTTTGTAGGCTTTCAGAAAACATTAAAACCAAGCGAATGTCCATTGAGAATAATGACAAGCAGGGCATTCTGGTGGTACAGTCCATAGTGTCTTGTCCTGCCATCTCTCCGGGGCTTTGAATCCACCAACAGCTCTGTGAGAAAAAGACAGGAAATCTCCCATGATATTTACAGCCTCAAAAACATACTGGCGGGTCCACTATAACTTGGTTAAGCAATAAGAGAGAGAAAGAGATAAAGGGAGAGAGAAGGAGAGGGAGACGGAGAGGGAGAGGGAGAGGGAGAAACACCAGACAGAGGAGACCAGTCTGCAGAGAAGCAGTTGGGTCTACAGGCAATTACTTGTTACAGTCAGCACAGGGGTGTCATGCTTAATGAGAGCTAAGTTTTATGCATAGATTTGCATAGTATATTAATACTAATTAAGTAATTGATCCATTTACATTTGGCCATTCTTTTCTTTTTGCAGAGACACTATGAGCACTATGGAACATCTGAAGATGAGAATTATGACATGACTGGAGTTGATGCTTTTGTGTGCTTAATAGTGAGGACATCTTTTCTACTTATCTGTTTATTCTTTTGAATGGCTATGATTTAGTTTAACTGTTTGGTCTTGTTTTAAGTCTACCAACTTTGAGAGTATTTCTAGCATATTTTTATGTAGAAGGACACTCAGACAAGTTGATTCAAAATCTTTGTGTATGAAAGAAATGGATGATAAGCCCAGAGTTCAGCATAAGATGGTTACTTATGTTTGTGTTTATATAGTCTCTGTCTGTCTCCTGAGTGAGCTGTATTAGAAAATACAGACCAAAGAGCCTGTAATTCTCGATAAAAAGGCAGAAGTCAAATCATAAGGACAATAGGGGAAATTATTACACCAGTATGTTTGGGCTGAGAAAAGCTTCTGTCTTTGAATATGTTTCCCTAGGTACAGAAAAGCACTAAAGAGAATATGTACGTGTGATTAAGATGGGTTCATCATCTATTTTGAACATTTTTTCTATGCACAGAAGTATATGCAGACAATCATCTCTTTCCTTAAGGAATTCTTACTCTAGAGAAAGAAAGAAAGAGAGAGTAAACTAAATAAACAGTATGTGCTATATCAGCTTAGTGACTGGAGAATGTCCTGCAGGGGAATAAAGATCTGAAGGAGTCAGGAAAGCAAGCTCCACCAACAGCTTAGAGAAGAGCGTCCTGGGAGAGTTGGCGAGAGTGACCTTGGCCAGTTATGGCAGCAGCCAGGAGGAGGCTGTTTTGCTCGTGGTTGAGTGACCAAAGGGGAGCCTGACAGGAAAGAAGGTTGTAGAGGGAATGGGGGTGGGGGAGAGACAGAAAGGGAGAAGAGGTGACAAGACTTTCTGGATCCCCCTAAGGGCGTTACCTTGGAGTTATTGAAAGTCCATTGGAAGGAGAGTCGTATGGTAAAATGTGTGCGTATAAAGCAGTCGCTTTATCATAATAAGAATGGAAGAATGGAACAAGGAGGGAAGAGGGAGACCAGATAGAAAGGTTTTGCAATAATCCAGGTGAGAAATAATAATTCCATGGATCTGGGTGGGAGAAGCAAAATTAAGGAACAGAAAGTAATTTATGGATTGTTTTGTTTTTTTAAGCTAGAGCACAGAGAGTTTGCCAACAGGCCAGGCTGAATTGTGTGACGATTGTGTGAGGCAGGTTCTTCTGGGTTGAACTGTGATCTTTCCAGTTCTCAGGATGAATCCTATCCACTTACCTGAGGACGACAGAGAGTTGAGTTAATTCAAATGCTTTACTAATATATGTGACTTTCCATTGCCTAAATGTTACTGTTTTTCTTTGCCCCTAGCCTTACTTTCAGGCTATGGTTTTCCTGTTTATTCTAAAATTCCTGGAAAGCAAGTACGGAAAGAGAACAATGCAAAAGGACCCCATTTTCAGGTTGGAATTTAGTGTCATGTTTTGACTTTGCTACATAATGGCTACATGATTAGTCTCACAGGGACCTGTACACATAGTCTAAGCGGCACTAGAATTGTCATTTTTGGTCAGGGGATTGCCGACTTCCTTGCAAGGGAATGTGACTTCTGGGCTGAGTTCTGCCATCAACCAACTGAGAGGACTGAAGGTTAACTTCTAGAATCAAACATTTCATGAGCACCCAGCTAGGCCAGTCTCCATTCAAGATGATGGTCCCACATTCCTGAGCCAAAGTTAGGCAATGTTGTTGTTATTGGTAGGTGGAGTTGCGTAGAATACAGTTGGTTCATAGTGACTCTCTGAATAACAGATCAGTCCTAGCCTGTGCCGTCCTCATCATCTCTGACATCTTGAGCCCGTTGCTGCCGTCACTTTTTTAATCCGCCTCATTGAGGATCTTCCTCTCTTTTGCTGATCCTCCACCTTTCCAAGCTTGTTGTCCCATTCCAAGGAAGAGTTTTTTCGAGGAACATGTCTAAAGTCTATAATTTAGTTAAGTTCAGACCTCAGAGCGTTGTTTTTTTTTAAGTAGAAGGATTCTAGAAATATTTTCAGTAAATGGACTCATAGTGAACCACAAAAATGCAGTAACCTGGTTTTAAAAAGAAAGTAGGAATGTATGTATCATTTGACCCAGCAATTCCACTACTGGGAATATACCCCAAAGAATAATCATCACCCAAGCAGATATATGCACATCCATGTTTATTGCGGCTTTGTTCACAATAGCAAAGAGCTATAAAAAACCCAAGTGCCCATTAACAAGTGAATGGATAGAGAAGCTGTGGTATATTCACACAATGAAATACTATGCTGCATTGAAAAACAAGGAACTCATGAAATATTATTCAAAATGGGTAACGCTGGAGGACATTATGCTGAGTGAAATATCTCAGTAACAAAAAGACAAATACTGCATAGTGCCACTGTTGTAAAACGGGACTGACATCGGGGTTGAGGGAAGACAGAGAAGGAGGGGAGGAATGAGGCACTGAAACAGATGAGAGAGAGAACTATTTAAAAGGGATACATGATTGAGTAATATTGTCATGACAGGAGTCCAGATGAAGGCAGCACAGAGCAGTGGACTTGGAGGGAGGGACTGCGTAACAATGCAAGAGTTTTTATGTTGCTTTTCAAGGAGAGTGAATTGGGGGGCAAGAGGGGGTGGACAGGGAGAAAAGTGCAACAACGAATGACTGGAAACCCTAAGTCTCTGTAAACTTCCATTAATTTTTTTAAAGGAAGTAGGTATTTAAGACCATATTTGATAAAGTCAAGGCATTGACTAGCAGGATGGTTCACACAGACCAAGGAATTCTGCTAATGGGGGAAGGTTCTTGACAAGGGCCAGAACAGAGCTGGTATTAACAAGGCCATCTCTTGAAAGAAAATGCAGTGGTAAAGGCCCAAGTCATCCTTGCCAACTAGGAAACCACATGTACCAGATTTCCTTTTCTTCACAGAATTCACCCCCAAAGGACAGTTGGTCATCCCAGTCTAGAGGAAGTGGTAGATGAAAATGAAGATGAAGATGTTCAAGCGGAAAGATTAAGAACAACCACCATTCTGACCACTTCAAACACTGACGAGGTAGTATGACCGGTAACGCCATGAGTGTTAACAAAGGGTCTGAGGAGAAAGTTCTGCTGGTTCTTCTTTTGAAATGAATCCTTAAATACCATGCACTTTTTTGGAGCTTCATGGATGCTTTTTCCAGGAAAGAACGTATGACATGATAATTATTTTTCTTTTAAAAGAAATACATTTTATGGGTTTTTTTTCTTTTGAGGGAAATAGTTTTTTTTTTAGATTCATAATTTCAAGACCAATAACCTTGTGAGTTGAAGGGTTGAATGAGTTTGTTATAAAATGCTAACTTGAGATTGCAGTCCTTTTGTACCATTGAGTCGGAATTGACCCATAGCTGACCCTCCAGTGGTTTTCAGAGGCAGTTAATGTTATGGGAGGAAACAACTCATCCTTCCCCACACACAGAGTGGCCTCGAACAGCATGCCTTCAGGTTCTAGTGTGGCTTCTTGCCACTAGGCCACCAGAGATCGCTGCAAATCTTCATGGATTCTCTGTAAATTGAGGTTGCAATTTATTTCCCTTGCCTCCAAAGTGGTGATGTTACCATGAGCTTGACACTTTTGTGCTGGAATAGTACTTTCTGTCTCTCCAGTTCATGGAAAAACACGAAATAGTATCTCCATTAATGCATGCCTATTAAGATTGTAAACAATGAGTATTAATTACCCCAGAGATGGTTTGGTAGGGAGCTCTGGGGACCTAGTCTGGAGGTAGTTGTGCTGCTAACCCAAAGGCTTTGCCCCTCTGCTGGTTCGAATCCACCAGCAGCTCCATAGGAGTAGGATGGAGTTTCTCCTCTCATGTGAGAGAAATCGGCTTGTAGCCTTTGAAACCTGAAGGATGGGCTGTTAGGAGTCTATTCCAACTACACAGGGAGAGGGAGAGGGAAGGAGGGTAGAAGGGAGAGAGGGAGGGAGAGGGAGGGGGGAGGTAGAAAAGAGGGAGAGGGAGAAAGAGGGGGAGAGGGAGAGAGACTAGTTTATGACATTAGACCAAAAAAAGAGCCCAGGAAAGACAATGTAGAAAGACGAAATCTCTGGAATTTAGGAGAAAAATAACATTGTCATCTCTTCCAGAGACCTGTCATTATTGCCAACTGTCTACACAAAGAATATGTCAGCAAGATGAAGTGTTGCTTTTCCAAGAAAAAGAAAGTCGCTGCAAGGAATATCTCTTTCTGTGTCAAAAAAGGTTTCATTTTTATGTTCCTCATTTTTACATTTCTGCTGTTTTAAGCACTAGTCGACTCTTTTTCATACTCCTCCATTTTACAAATGCTCACTGAATCATGTTATGTTTTAAGCACTGTTTTACTCTCTCCACCCATCCAATCAGTAAACACTCATTGTGCAGCGTGCCATGGTCTGATTTAGGCTTTGGTCGTAGATCTATGAATTAACTAGGAAAAGACCTTGTCCTCAGTGCCCCAGCAGTAAACACAAAGAACTCATCAGGAAAAGTTTGGACAATTAAATAGATTCTATGTGGAACATAGGGGTTCACCCTAGAGAGGGTTAAACCAGGCTACTCCTTGGAGGCAAAGATTCTGGGGCTTCGTGTGACATACTTTGGACATGTTGCAAGGAGAGACAGGTCTTTGGAGAGGGACATCATGCTGGGTAGAGTGGAGGGACGGTGCAGGAGGGGAAGACCCTCCGTGAGGTGGATTGATTCAATGACTGGGGTAATCGGGATGGGTGTGTCAGATTGGCACAGGATAGAGCAGGGTTTAGGGCTGTTGTACATAGGGTCACTATGAGTCGCAAACGACTTGACAGCACATAACAACAACAGCAACAACAACAACATGTGGAACATAAAAATACGTGGTTTGAAAGGAGTCTGGCTATGCCACTGACTGCCAAAAGAACAAACAGATCTGTCTTGGAGAAGGTACAGCCAGAGTGCTCCTTGGAGGCAAAGATGATGAAGCTTCGTCTCAAAGACTTTGGGTGTGTTATTAGGAGAAGCTATTCCTTGGAGAAGGACATTATTCCTGGAAAGCTGGGAGGTCGGTGAGAGGAAGACTCTCAATCAGATAGATTGACACCTTGACTGTAGCAACGGGCTCAAGTAGGTCAGACATTTGGAAGAAGGCACAGGATAGGACAGGGTTCAGTCTGTTGTTCATAGGATTGTGATGAGTCATTCGACTAGATGGTACCAAACAAAAGCAGAATGTAGGACATAAAAATGCATGATTTTGAGTCAATTGAGGTTAAATGTGGTTAGAAGGTCAAGGAAGACCTCAATAGAGGAGCAGCTTTTAAGCCAGTATCTGGATTTCAAGAAAGTACAAACTATGTAGTCATGAATAGTCAAGCTTTCCAGACAGAAAAAAACCGGTGAGCATTCGTATTCAACATGTAGACATGTTTGGAGTGGTGAGGGCACAATCACTGACCAGGTGATGAAGCCATTTACAAAGGAGAAGAGGGCTACAAGTTGGGTGGGTACCAAGCTGGGTACAATGCTGTACAATACAAGAGAGATCCTATTTTTTAACTATGTTTGTAAAAAACCCCTAGAGACATTTTTGTTTTGCTGAAAAGTGTGACATCATTTCTGTTTTCTTAACTCATGGGCACATTACCAGGAGAGGTTATTCCTTGGAAAGCGACATCATGCTTAGAGAGGTGGAAAGCCCATGGAAGAGACAATGACCTTCAACAAGGTGAATTGTCACAGCGACTCCAGCAACGTGCTCAAGTGTGTCTAGCATGATGAGGATGACACAGGCTAGGACAGGGTTCAGATCTGCGGGTCACACTCAACAGCATCTAACAATGACACAACAAACTCATGAAGAGTGTAGAACAGGAGCACATTAAGCTTTTCTATCAATTCAGAAGCAATATGATGGTGGTTTAGACACAGGATACCGTTTGGGATGAATGTCCCTATCTTGGCATAGTTTATGCACGCACATAACGTGGTAGGAATTTATTATGAACCACAACAAGGACCCTATTTAATGCATGGCAACATCCTAGAAAAGGGTGGCAAGCGTAAGAAGGCTGAATAGCCTTCTAATAACACTTTATATGTTGTAGGAGTTACATATCATATATTAGTAATGTAAACAACACACACATCACAAATTTCAAGATCATTTTAACTGTTGGATGCAAGTATCTCAGGTTTGATTGAAGGAGTGAGTTTATGTTTATATATAACTTTCACTTTTAACAGCATTATTTTTTTTTCTTTTTTCTTTCAGGTGAAATTTTGGGATTGCTGGGACCTAATGGTGCTGGTAAAAGTTCTACTATTAGAGTGATAGCTGGGATCACAAAGCCAACCGCAGGAAGGGTAAGGGCACAGGATGAAATGATCGAGTCGCATATTTATAAAACTAGTATGTGGAAGTCACTGGGGGATGCAAATGGTTAATCGCAGTCACTGACTCAGAGACTAGAGATCTTGGGCTCCCAGATGCCCCTTGGAGAAAACTCTGGCAATCTGTGTTTTAAAATATTAACCATTGGAATCCTTGCAGAGCACAGTTCTACTTTGAAATGCATGGAGTCACCATGAAACGGAACTGCCCGTGTCACCTTGTATACTTATGTAGTAGATAACATGGCATGTCTACAAAACTTGTATGAATTTGTTTTTCCATTGTTTCTTTGAACATGCTTGTTCCATGCTAAGGAAATTCGGCCATTCTTTCTTATTATGTCAACCACTCTCCCTATCCTTTTAAAAATCCCTTTGCCTGCATCTCCCCACTGGCATCCTGAGGAGGTCGGGTTTCTGCTGCCCAGGTGAGTCATAGATTGGGTACAACCAAGAATCTGTTGATCTTGGTTGTCAAGAAGGAACGTTCTCAGGGAGCTCTGGTGGCCTAGTGGTAAGAAGCTGTACTGCAATCCTAGAGGTTCATGGTTTGAATCCACCAGATGCTCTTCTGGAGAAGGAGGGGTAATGTCCTCCTGTACCAGTCAGATCTGATTTGAAAACACACACACACACACACACACACACACAGGAACATTCTCCCTCTTACCCTCCCTCTCCTGTTGTAGAGCCTCATATTTTCTTGATTAATTGCTTGATTGAAGAGATAGCTACCTGTGTTTTTAGATCTTTTTTACTTTTTCAGGTGGAGCTGAAAGGATCTAATTCCATCTGGGACCAGCAGGAAGACAGCACAGTCAAGTTCCTGGGGTATTGCCCTCAAGAGGACGCTCTGTGGCCCAACCTGACAGTGAGGGAGCATCTGGAGATATACACCTCCGTGAAGGGGCTCAGGAGAGGAGATGCAGAGGCTGCCATCTCTCGGTATGGACAGCAATGGGTTTCCTCAGGGTCAAACGTACGACGACTGTACAATTTGTGATAAAGAAACAAATACTAGGAATCACATCTCCAAGTGTACACAGAGCATCAGAGTTAGAACAGGAACAGGAGATCATTTGATGGGGAGGTGTGTGAAGGAAATGGGAAAGATCCAGTGTGAAAACAGTGCATTTAAACTTTTTAAATAAACCAGTATTAACAAACAAACAAACAAACAAACAAAGAACCATGAGACAAGACCTGATTTTTCACATCCCAGTACATATTCTTAAAAGACTCATACAAAGGTACCAAAAAATCACTTATCTATGTTTTTAATTTACAATTATTATTTTTTCAGAATTAATTTTTAAAGAGGTGAAATATCTTTGTATTCTAAAATAAACTTCTTTCCCCCATCTTATCAATAGAATTTTGATCATAACACAGACTTTAACCATTAAGGGAACAAATTAATTACTAAGATTAAGAGAAAGGCAAAGGTACAGGGTTTTAATCTACCAGTTGCTCTGTGTTAGAAACAAGGGCAATCTCCTCTCATACAATTTACTGCTCCTGAAAAGCCACTGGAGGGTCAATTATGGGTTGGTCCTGCCTGACAGTACACAACAACAACAACAACCAGCATTTGTAAATGGAAAATTTGTTTCAGAGAAACTTCTGAGATTATCACAAAGCAGTATTTTGCATATATGACATTTACAATCTTCTCATCTACAATTCTTCTTGGATAGTTAAACAATTGTGGAGAAGAGCAAATCCCATGGACTATGCAAAATCCTAGAGGGAGAGGTCATGCAGAAAGGAATTTTCAGCTACACATCTACCTTCTGTTACTTCAGTGGGTAGAATTTTGGGGAAACAAGAAGGAACGTTACTTGGTGGAGAGTGTGAAAATATACATGAGAAAGCATAGACCACTTCCGCTCTCTCTGTGCACAGATTCAGTATGTTGAGTATAGTCTGCAAGTTATGCAATCATTCTCACTATCTACTACCATTAAGATAACGTCACTGGCAGCCCCAGGAGATTTGACTTCTGGTGAAGTGAGGCAGAGCTAGACGTGGAGAATGACCAAGAGTCTGAACTCTTGACTCTGGATGGGGCATTCTTTATCTTCGTTCCTTCTCCCTCCTTCCTTCCCCACTTCCCTCCCTCCCTCCCTTCCTTCCTTCCTTCCTTCCTTCCTTCCTTCCTTC